AAAAATATTAAAAAATAAGAAAATATTAAAATAATAAAATATTAAAAAATATTAAAATATTAAAATATTAAAATATTAAAATATTAAAATATTAAAATATTAAAATATTAAAATATTAAATATTAAAGTAATAATTTAAAAAGTAGAAGACGCCACTGGTGGCGGCGTCTCCTCGCGGTGCCGCCACCGGCGGTGGCGTCTCCGTCCGATGCCGCCGTTCCCAGTGGCGGCCAACACCAATTTAATTACTACTTCAAAAATAACCCCATTTTAAAAACTCCAAAACAAAACAACCCCAAAAAAAAAATTGCCCCAGCACTAATATAACCTTTTTTTTTCTTTTTCAATTCGGGGTCGAGAGTGTATGGATCTGATCGAAATTAGCATTTTCAGAAGATATATGGATTCTTTCGGAAGTGAAAAAACAAATTTTGATTTCGTTCGGAAGAAATTGAAAATTGGAGTTTCGGAAATTAGAATGAAAAATATCATTACAAAATCGGAAAATTTCGAATCAAAATCAGTGGGATTTGGAAAGTTTTAGTTATTAGTTGCTTTTAAAAATATAAAATGTATAATAGTACTGATATGATAAGTATGAGTTACGGGGAAAAAAATTGGAATTTTCTGAATTAATTATAAAAATGAAAAATCAGATCGAAAATTGTAAGTCTCCTATATATTTCAATTCCGATCCAAAAAAAAAAAAAAATTGGAAAACGTCGAAATCCAAAGTTTCGGATTTGGAATGAAATATTTTTCAATATCGAACAATTTTGGATCGCAATCAACGGAAATCGAAAATTTCGTTCCAGCTTCCATCTCTAATTTCAATTATAGTGGGGCGATTCAAAATTTTATTTACTACAAAAATTCCTTAACTAATTTTAATAAGTTGTAACTAATTTACTCTTTTGATTACATGTTATAAAATTGGTGCACTCGGTCGAATCAATAAGCCGAGTCAAATGAGCTAAGCACAAGTTAGTATTGTTCCTCTACATCGACAAGAGGCTTGAATTAAAGAATGCAAACTCCTCGAATAATTCATCAATTTCTTTTTTTTTTTTTAATTTGCCACATATAATTTTGGAGCTTCGAAAAAAATGATTTTTTTATATTTTGTATCGTAAATATTTCTCATAATTTCATACTTGTTTCGTGTATAGAGACGACCTAGATCTGTCAGATATTTTTTTTCGTATATCTTTTGTGTTTCTAGGCTACTTGATTTCATTTTTGTACTCGCGTTCTATAATTATAGATTTCAGTGAAGATTATGTTCACCTGAGATAAGATTAAATTACGAAAAATTCATTTTATTTAGGTAATTACAACCACCCCCATCATCTATGTATTGTCTTGCAAAAAAATCCCTCCTTCAAATTTCAATAGTCAAAAAATTGTCCAACGTAAGGGACTAAGGGTGGACGTTTAATAGTTGTCATTACCGAAACAGAAGGGTCTTTTTCGTAATGTAATTTTACATCAGGGGTGAGCGTAATTTGTCCGTAATTTTAATAAATTAATTTATACTCTGGAGTTTTTGTATTTAACTGGGCCAATTAAGGTGTTAATTTATTGTTTTTAATTCTTATTTGCATCTAGAAGAAATTTGATGAATTTTGAGATAGGATAAATTAATGAATTAATTAATAAGAAATTGCAATTTGTTATGATGCAGGCAAATAATTAAATTGTCCTACATTGTGTTATGGTCACAAATATAGACTAAGTTGTAAGCCTATCACATCTAAACAAAAGAATTTCAGAAATTATAAATTAATATGTTTTCATCTGTCCCAACTCTTGTTTTTTTGCACCACATGCATTTTGCCCTTTGTATTTTTCACTTAATTTATAGGACTGAAAGCTACTATCTCAATTAAATAAATAAGAAAATTATTCCATTTAAAAATATTATCATGATCATTCAAACAGTTGTATTTTTCTGAAAAATAAAATAAAATAAAATATACATGTTGTAATTTATTGTTGATGATGGTCCATCAATTACTATCATTTCTTTTATTCACACTTAGTAGAAAACAATTGTTGACATTTACCGAATTAATGCTATAGAATTGCGATATAATAAAAAATATTTAAAATAAAGAAACTCGCAGTTACACATATACACCGGATAAGCTCCACTCTCGTATAATAATCCGCGATGTCAGCTATAATGGGTAAATCACAGGCGAGGAGTTTGAAAGGAAGATATTATAAAAAGAATTGAAGTTTGGCATATTATGGCTAATTGAGAGATTTTATTATCAAGGAAGGATTAAAAATGATGATTATTCTAAATTGATCTTAGTTCATTCACTTAATGATGTCGAAGTAGGCCAAAATTTATAAAGATTATGCTAATTATTAGATTGCAGATATTCGATCTTATACGTTTTAACGTGTTAATTGCTAAATATGAAGAAATATTTCATGTGAATAATTTCCCTCATGCTTGAATTTATCTTGTTCATATGAAAAAACGAACTCGTTTTTTTCTTCATCTTGTTATCAGAAAATTGAAAAAAAAAAAAAATTCCAATATTGATCGGAGATCATTTGTGCTTGATTTTCTGCTTATTCTTAAATTGCATAATACAATAATTTAGTAATATTGTTAATATTATGACAAATTACGACCACCTTGAAGTAAGGTCAAATTATGAAGAAAAAAAATTCATTATGTGCGGGTAATTATAACCATCATTCTTAAATATGTATTTCCTTGTACGTTTATCCTTACAGGGCCAAATTTATCAACGGAAATATGGGATTTTTTGTAAGAAAATAAATATTTGATGGAATAATTGTAATTACCCAAACAAGAGAGATTTTTTCATAATTTGATCTTACCTCGATCAGGAGATGGTGTAATTAGCCCTTACTCTTTATTATATGTATGTTGTAATGTATGTTTTCGATCATTTGACAAAGGACTCGAGAGTAAGAATTTCAAATTAGGGGCAAGAGTGAAACATTAATAAGTATCTTTTACAAAATAAAATAGCATAGAAAAATAAATAAATATCTGACTGACATTTTTTTTTTCTTTTCACAAATGAGAAATTTTAAAGATTACTTATTTTAGTATAGAGACAACGTGACCATCTCTTTCTTGGTACATCATAAGTTGCTTTCAGAAAATCTATAGAAATATTCTGTAATTATGTAAAAATCACATATATTCACATTATATTTATGTAAAAATCCCTCATATCCATAATTACAGCCACCCTTGTAATTTATAGATTTTTTTTTATATTAACACCATTTTGTAGAGGTGGATGTAATAAATTTACAAACTACAAGGGTCTGAATGTAATTTTTTTAAATGAGGAATTTTTTTATAAATAAATCTTACCTCAAGGAGGTGGTTTTTTAATAAAATATAGTAGGTATTTGCATATTTTACAATATCTTATACTAAAAAAATCTTTTAAGAAAAATTATAAATTGTGGGTGCCACGCTCAACCAGTGTACATTAATATTTATTCACCACCTTGATAAAAAAAATATCGGCTCCACCAGCGACGATGAGCTCAATTTAGCAAGTAAGGTCATCTCGTTGTTTTAAAATTGGTTGTTTATATCTTTAATTTGACACGTATACAGTGTTTTGCACCACCACTTCTAACTATATATTCCAATAACATTGTTTATAATTTCAACAACAATTATATTTTATTATTTTTTCATATTTCAATTTTAAATTTTCCGTAAATTTGGAGATTAAAAGAGATGGGTTATTGTTATTTTATTATTATTTTTTATTTTCGCCCAATTGATTAAATTTTAACTTTGATTTTCTAAATTTGAGAAATCAAATTTACCATTTGTTAAATTTTGCATTTTCCCATGATATTGTTGGAGGTCTCAAATTGTGTAAAAAGTGCAAATAATAGAATAACACTTGACTATTGCAGTTGCCCTTAGTCGCATCAGTTAGAATCGAATTCGAATCGTTTGACGACAATAGTATAGTGTCACGACTTTCTGCAACATATGACTTAAAGAAGGCTACTTATTTCTTTTGAGGCACCTCTCACGTACACGCAAAAGATCACAGTATGTAAATATATTTCAAAGTTCAAACTGAAATGAAAGCTCATTTTACGCCTATGCCTAACTCTGCCTAATCTTGGACTTTTGAAATATACTCGAAAGTCGCAAACTCTATTATTTTGATGATGATATATTAATGTTTTTAAGAAGAAATAAAAATGTTATTTGAAAAATTGAAATAGGAAGTCGTGACTAGGGGTGAAAATCGGAATGAAATTTCCTAACTTGGAACCCGTATCTTTGATTCCGATTTCCTATTTTTTTGAATTTATTTGGAACAAAATTGGAATTGTATATAAAAAACTGGAAATTCCGAATTCCGATCCGATTTTAGTTCTGGATATTTTGATTGTTTTTTTAAATAGCTTAGTTAGAGAGCTTAGTCGGAAAATAGTCATCTTAGACTGAAAATAAAGTATTATCCTCCAATTCATCCGTCTTCAAAACCACATTCACTCAAAACAAATGTCATTTCTTTCACTCTTTCGCCTCTCCTTATCGATCCCCGGTCGTCGACTGCTTAAATTCCACCACAACATCATTGAATAAAAGTCATTATTATCTAAGATGTCTACTTTAAGTCCAAATTTCCCAACTAAGTTATCCGGTATCAATCTTAACTGTCTATTTTCAGTCTAAACTCTCCAAAGAGTGTCTAAATTATCTACTTTTAATCTGAGATGTCCTTAGGGAGTTATAGCAAGTTTAAAATATCCGAACGAACTGTTAACTATATAAAATATTTTTGAGCCCGTTCTCCCTAAAACCTAAAATTGTTCATACCATAAATTTGAATTTAAATGTGGATTGAAGGACAATTGCACTAAACTCTCAATGGCCTAGTTGTTTTTAGTGTTTTATAGGGATATATGAATATACCTTGTGCCCCTATCTCTTGGACTTTTACTTGTGAATAGTGATACACCTATTTTTACAATAAAAGATGTTAACACTAAAAGTAATGTATATAACATATCAAGTACTACAAATTAACTTCGTCCCAAACCATTTTTTATACAGAGGCGAATTTTTTTTTTTTTTGGGAAATTATTCAGACAAATATGTGTATAATTTATAAACTTTATGTAAAATAATATGAGTTTCAGTAGTATTAATTTATATTGTAATAAGAAATAGGGAAAAACACATATTTATATAATAGTAAAACAAATACTTACAAAAAAAAGGTTCAAAAAGAAAAAAATACACAGGTTTGTCTCTGCTGGTAGGAATAAAACTCGTGTCAACCTTCGTCAGTACTATTTAGTTACAATTAAAGTACGAAAAAAAGTAATACTAAAAATAGTTGGACTAAACAAGTAATTTAGCAGAATATGGTGGTGTTTGCAAAAGCTTATTTAAAAGCATAAGTTAGTGATTGTAAGTTAAGTTGATATTAAGTGTTTAATTCTAGAAGTTGGGGGTGTTTGCAAAAAATCTGGAAAATCAATTTAGGTGGTGTTTGCAAAAGCTTTTAGAAATAGATTATGAGTTTTTTTTCCACATAATCTGTTTTTAGGTGTTTGCAAAAACAACTTTTGTTTTTGTTTCTCTTAAAATAAGCAGTTTTAAGCTATAATTTATTAAGCACTATTGACCCTACTTTCACTATTTAAGTTAGCTTTCTAATAAATTTGCAAACACCCCCAACTTTTAGAAATAATCACTTAAAATCAACTTATCTCACAATC